GTTTAGGTTTACGTTATTGTTACGTTATTAGTTTAGTTAGGTTAGGTTAGGTTAAGGTTAACGGTAAGTACGTTAGTAGTACGTACGTACTACCTCTCTCTCTCTCTCTCTCTCTCTCTCTCTCTCTCTCTCTCTCTCTCTCCCCACACACACACACACACACACACACATCCCCAAGAACCATGGCCTGAGTCCTATTGTTTTTAAGATTTTAGATAATTTAGATAACAATTTTGGTTTTTTGGGGTGTTGCAATTAATGGAGGCATGTTTTTATCATTGTAATGAATTTAACTATGGATGTGTTGTGGGTTTCTTGCATTCAAGACATGGTTTTTTGGCTTTAATGTAGTAGGTATTTGCATATTTGGTGATTTTCATATTCGGTGGATTTTTTTTTGCATTTTATAGCTTTTTTTTTTTTTTGCGTTTTTATTTTAATATAGTTTTTGGTCATGTAATACTTCAATAAAATTATGGAAAATGTTGAAATATGGACATTCATCCATAGTTAGCATTTTATTAATTTTTATTATTTTGGTTGTTTGATATTTAAACGGAACTACAGAAATGTTTAAAAATGGATATTATTCCATTGTAAGTGTCTTGTGTGTTTTTTTTTTTTTTTTTTTTCAGTTTTTCTTTAAATTTATATGACATCGTTGAAATTTTTTTGTGTGTATACGAGTTTATCATTTTCTCTTTGCATAATAATTTTCTGATTTGTTAGTTTTTTTTTTCTAATATTTTTATTTTTCCCTTTTTAAATTTTTGAAATTTTGTAATTTTTTCCTGAACTATTTATTTTTAAAATTTGACTGGTCTGACCGAACAGTGTGTCCACCAGTTCGATGTTCCATCTAGTCCTGATTACATTGGTTAAAATGTAAATCTATCATTTATATTGATATGGATCATTAATTCTTTTGGTGTGTTTGTGAGGTCATAATTTTCTTTTTTCATAATAATTTTCTGCTTTTTTCAAAATATTCAAAATTTTTATTTTCTCTATTTTTATTTTCAAAATTTTGTTTTTTTTTCTTCTGAATTTTAGTTTTTAGGTCTTATTTGACCCGGTCCAACAGAACCAGTGTCTCCACCAGTTTGATGTCCCATAGAGTCTTGATTACATTGGTTAGAATAGTACCCTTCTATGATATTCTGTGATTCTTTTATGATAAATGGTATCCTTTTATGATATTCTTTGAATATATGTGATACTGCGGTTCATCTGATGAATAATCTGCAATTCTGTACAGTAATTATTCTGTGTACTTAATACACTATACATACTTTTTCTTGTTGTTTATTATTTTCAGGATATTTCTTTTTTCCCCTCCCATTTATGCAAGGATTTGCACTTCTAATCGTAAAAAGTACGAATTATACCTTTCCTTAGGTTGAATCTTTTCTGTCTCCCATTGCCTGCCTTCTAATGACTTGTTGAGCTGTTCATGGTGGTGGAGCTGGCTAACATGAGTTCAGTTGGGCAGTCCTGCTAGGAATCTGATTTATGGTGGGCCAGAACCTGCTATTTTTAGTTATGTCCCTTGGTTTCCTCTTTCAATAAACTAAGATGGGCTTTATGATCTCTTACCAAAAGCATCTTCTTGTTGTATTTAGGATTTCCAGTCTTGATTTTCCCTTGTTTTCTTTTTTGTTAGATGAGTCTAATATTGAGAGGTATTTTTTATTAGTCTTTTCTATTTGTTAGATAATTCTTATTGGTTTCCAACTTAATATCATGTTCTATTTGACCTGCATTTATATTATTGTCTGCAATTGTTTTTGATTGTGGAACATACGTTCTCTTGCCGGCTATTGATGAAATTTTACTTTTCTTTTTTTAAGAGAATGTGATGACTTTTCTGGTGGATTTGCTTTGAATGGTGCAGGGAATATGCTAACATTTCTGGTGGGTTCAAAGCAAGCATTTGAAGTGTCTTTAGCAGATGTGTCGCAAACGCAACTACAGGGAAAAAATGATGTCTCCCTTGAGTTTCATGTAGATGATACGACTGGAGCAAATGAGGTTTTCACCATTTTCCTGATTTTTGTTTTCATCATTTTAAGTGCTGCTATTGCACTATATACTTATTGCTTCTTATTTAGGGCATTAACTAGATAGACAAGAAGCATTTGTTGATCTTTTGTTGTAATAGATAGGATTTTTTGGCTTATTTACTTGTAACTAAAGCTTTAGTATTTAAAAAATAAATAAATATTTTTTCTCTCTATCTTCCTGGAATGATGTTGGAGTGGACAGGAGCTGTTACGAGACCAATTTTTATAATGTAAGTAGGCTTTAAGAGCCTATAAAACTTATCCATGACAATGGCTCTCCATCGATCCCTTGAGAGAGGCTTCTGTTATTACCTGCCTACCTTATGCTTCCGTCATGGTCTTTGCATGCGGGCAGTTAGTATCTGATAACTAAGAAGCAGAAATGTTTGTGTGTGTGTGCTGTGTGCTGTGTGAGTTGTTTTTTTTTTGGGGGAAGGGGGGGGGGGGTTGGAAGAATAAAACATACATATGAATGTAGATGACTCTGATGATACGTTGTGACTGGAATACTTCATCAGTTTGTAATGTTTCAAGAAGTGATGAAATCGCTAGCTTTGTATTTTGAGAGTTTGGCGGATGAATTTCTGGTCATAATGACACCCTTCTGTTCCTTTTTGTAATTATTTGCTGTCATGTGATTTCAACTTTAAGTGGCTGCTTTGTAATTTGTTTGAAGCGAATTTTAATTGCAAAATTGAAGTATTCTCTCACATAGTATGAGTAACTCATGTGGAATGTGATGGATTCGCGTGTTACAGTTTAGAGCTGTGCATTGTAGTTGTGGTGCTTGTGGATATCATAATTGGGAATGCACTGTCGTTGTGCTTTTCTATTTGGAATGTTTATCTTCTGATTCTCCATTTTGGCTTTGGTTTGGTTCTGCAGAAGGATTCTTTGGTGGAGTTGGCCTTTCATATACCTAACAGCAATACGACTTTTGTTGGGGATGAAACTCGCCCTCCTGCACAGGTGGGCTTCTTTTGCTGGTTTTTAGGCATCTTAAGGTGTGTTTTGGTGGTGATGTCCCCAGTGTCTCATACAATGGTATTCTATGGTCATTGGTCAGGTCTTCCGCGATAAAATTATGTCCATGGCAGATGTTGGTCCATCTGGTGAAGAAGCTGTTGTGACCTTTGATGGGATCGCTGTACTTACACCAAGGTTAATTAGTGAAAAGATATACTATCTCATGGAATTTGCACTACTATTCTTTATACAAATTTTGCTTGTTTGGGGCTGCTGAAAGCTGCATATGTATCTTATGATAATCTGTCACTTACTTTTCTTGAAAAGCTAACTGGTTGGTGCATGCAGAGGGCGCTACACTGTTGAGCTTCATATTTCATTCTTCCGCCTCCTTGGGCAAGCCAATGATTTCAAGATTCAGTATAGCAGTGTTGTTCGTCTTTTTGTGCTGCCAAAGGTTATTTGATTTACTTCTTCATTTTATTCTTTGTAGTTTTCATTGATTAAATCATACAAAACATGAAACAATTTTCTTCTCTTGGGTGTTAAGTTTCTGAGTTCCTATATTTAACCTTTGTCTTTTCACTTTGCAGTTCAATCAACCTCATACTTTCGTCATCATTACTCTTGACCCACCTATTAGAAAAGGACAAACATTATACCCACATATTGTTTTACAGGTAAATTTTATAGTGGCTTGAGAGTATGTTTCATTTTGTACTGGTTTGTTTGGGCATTCTATGTATTTAAAGTCAACGTGTTTAAAATGGTCATTTGGTTTTTTTTGTGAAGTTTGAAACAGAATATGTGGTTGAAAGCACGCTGTCTATTTCTGAAGATCTCTTGAGCACAAAGTACAAGGACCGACTGGAAGCATCATATAAGGTAATCAGATTGTTTGTGTTTTTCCAAGTTCTGTTCCTCTGTAAAGTTGTTCTCCTTTGTATTACAGTGAGATTGTTATGAACTCAGGGTTGCATCTGTGGATGTTTCTCTATGTTTGGCTCCTCATTTGGAAATTTAGCACTTCTGTATGCACAAAATTATGACTCTTTAGGATTATTGCTGAAAGGTCGTTGATGCTTAACTTTAGTTGCTCCAAAGGTCTTTGAGGCCGGAAAAAGAATTTGGTAGAGATATATGTACCGATTAAGAAGAAAGTATGTTAGGTGCATGTTAGGATGTTTCGATGGTGTTTCTTCTACTTCCTGTAAATACACCTTTTATGTTTGCTGCCTATATTGAGCTGTCAATTGCTTCAGGAAAATCTGACATGGTATCAATGATTTGTTGCAGGCACATGCGTTATTTTTCTTGCTAGTTGCTATTTCTTTTCTGGCTCAGTGGTTTTCTTTCTCTTTTATAGGGATTATTGTATGACGTCTTCACGGCTATTTTGCGTGGCTTATCCGGTGCAAAATTAACACGACCGGGGAAATTCCGTAGCTGTCAAGATGGATATGCAGTGAAATCATCATTGAAAGCTGAAGACGGTATCTTATATCCTCTTGAAAAGAGCTTTTTCTTCCTGCCTAAGCCTCCAACTCTCATACTACATGATGAGGTAGATCATCAGATTTCCTGCTTACGGTATCATGTACTCTTAAGGGGTTTTGTTATATGGTTTACCAAAGGGACATCCACCTGCTCTTGATGACCGTAAGTTGGAGTTCACTTATCCAGATGTAGGCCATGGTGGCTCCTCTATGCTTACTCTCTACCCTCCAATGTATCAGGAACCAACAGTGGCTTCCCCATTTGCTATACCATATACAACACCATTTGCATCAGTTATACTCCATCTTCAATGTGTTAGTTCTTATTTTACATCAGGAGTCTTTCTGTTAAAATGTGACCAAACTTTAATATGAGTTGTTCAGATTGAATGCCTTGAGTTTGAGAGGCATGGTGCTGGTGGGTCAAGTATCTCGTCCCATTATTTTGATCTTCTCGTGAGGCTTAAAAACGAGCAAGAACATCTGTTTCGGAATATTCAGAGAAACGAGTATCACAACCTCTTCGAATTCATCAAGTAAGATTCTTTGTTCATTTGTTTATATGGGTATCCTGTGCTTGCCTGTGTAAGAGTTGGGCCACAATTTCCCTGTGTTAACTGGTATTTATGCATTATTTGGAAGCCAAATACTGTTGGATTTTTACCGGAATGGCATTTGGAAAAATCTTTGCTGTCTAGAAAGTAAATAACACTGGGTGGTTATTTTTTTCTCAACATTTGTTAACATTGGACTTGTATCAATTAATATATATATTGAATCCTAATAGACATTTTCCTTGCTCTCTCTCTCTCTCTCTCTCTC